TCCGGCATCATCAGGCAAAAATCCTACATTAATCTTTGACCATATTGTAATTAAAGTGGCTTAAGAGAGCACTGCATCTCCACTTAGCTTTCTTCAGGATTTAGAAAATCTAGCCGATGGCGGAAAACTTTCGCCAATCATAGGCCAACGGTCATTTCCAGAGACTTTCACAGGCTACACGGAACTATGACTTACTCCAGTGGGTGGCACACCATGGAAATTGAAATGTTAATTGCACGATAGCCTCATGATCGCTTCATTTTTTCTTATACTAAAGGTGAAGGGAATACATAAAACATAATGGCATTTGCAAGAATCATTGAAACAACCTATCAGAGCTGAGGAGTCTCGAAAGCAGCTATCAATCACGTCGATCTCTGCTCATGAACTGCAGTCAAGATGTCAAACTAGGCAGCACTGATCTTATATGAATCAAGATTCTGCAATATTATCTATTTCTCACCTCATGTTTTCAGGAACATATTTTAGTGCACTGTTAAAGGAGCTATATGTAAGAAATCTAAAGCAAATAGTCGTAAAATCATCCTAATATGTCAAAGAGACTAAGGAATAATGTTCATATAACATACTGATCTCACCGACAACAATAGTACAGCCAGAATATTTGCATCTAAAAAATTTTTTGCAGTCTGCAAATCATGTTTATGTTTTGAATTTGTGTTTTGGCCTGTTGCGGCACCCACCACCGTCTACCAGTCATGCAGTCAGTAGAGTCTCAGCATCAGTTACAGTTACGACTGAGCTACAGCAGCATGGCAAGCAGCATTAGCAGTCTCCTCAGCTGTATCCCGGCAGCAGCGTTAGCAGCAGAGAAGCTGGACTTGCACGAACGGTCCGCTAGGAAACCGAAGATCAAGGATGTGGCGACGCGGCGACGCAGCCCTGCCACGGCAGCCGCCCGTGGGCAAACAAATCAGTCTCCAGTGTGCCAATGTCCAGCAACCTTGAATCTGTAGGAGAGGGGGGGCGGACACGACTCGCGGCAGTATTTTGAATTTGAGTTGCAATGTTGAAAACAGTCAAATGACAGTTATAAAAATAAATTATTATTTGTCATATTTGCTTTAAAACAGTTACCTGTCCAAATTAATCTGGAATTATATTTCCTTTTGTACTTGTGTAAGGAAATATATAACGATACTGGGGATATTGTGTATTTAAAAGAAGACATAAGAGGGCCAGTGTTGCTAATTTCCACAGCGTGCCATCTACAGGAGCACGTCATAATTCCATACAGCCTATTAACGTTTTTTATTTTTGTCTTTTTTAAACAAGCATACATAGCTTTGATTATTGGACCAATCAAGCTGTTATGTTGGGAAATTTTAAACTCGCAAACTAGGCTAACTAGCTTATACTTGGAAAGCGTAGCCTTGTTAGCTTAGCTGTTAGCATTAGCACTGGCTCGCTCTAAATGTTCCCATTTGAATTTGGAATTGGAATTTCTAAGTTTCCAGCATGATATTTCAACTGGAACACCTTCTGAAGTCAGTGTGACTTCATTCCCATCTCTGACCTCTGACTTCCAAGCTAAATGGAATTCAGCATTGGACCTACTTTGTGTGGCTGTCACTTAAACACCACTGAGTCTCAGCCGCCCTCACACACCCAGTGTATGTCCCATATAAAATAATTTTAATTTAAATTGCAGTACATAGGCTATACACGCCAAGACGTTAAACGGGCAAATTGTAAGCACAAGCAAACATTTACCTTCGATGTTATGTCAAACTGTTTACATGAGGCTGGATGGATTTCTATTTATTCCAGCAGTGATGGCAGTCCCATGTCTTGGCCGCCTGGAAAATGCAAAGAATTATGTGTTGCATACCAAGGCTTGACAATGCCCTCTTCATTACCTCGTGCCTGTCCTAACTAACTGTCTCCTTATGAACCCACAAAGGAATCCCATCCCTTCACAATGGTAACATCGGACCACTGAGCACATGGGGAAAATAAAGAACCTGAGGATGTCATAATGTGACCTTATTCAGTTATAAATGTGATCACAGCAAACATTCACATGTTGTATAGTTGTTGAGGTTTCAAGTCAAGTGTTGATTTTTCAGTTATGAGTTATTTGCAAATGAAAGGCCTTAATGGGAGAGTTGTTTGTCGACTCAGCCCCAGAGCTGATATGCCTTTAGAGATGGGTGTGGCATTGTATAAACACAGGCCTTTTACACATTCAACTGTAAATTAGTACAAACTAGACTTTTCTTGGCCCTAGCACTGTGACTTCCTGGAGTCTTGTCATGGTGGCAGGCTGATTTTTCTAACTTTGGAAAAAGCCAGTTTCCAGTTTTAATGCTAAGCTAAGATAGCTTTAGCTTTACAAAACTAACAAGAGAGTGGCAAGAAGCGAGAAAGCCAATAACTATATTTACTAAAGTGTCAAAATATCCTTTTAATTACCTCAAATGGCACAGAGGAAATGCATAGCCGACTGTACAAAAACTACAAAACTGTGACGTTTCAGAGAGGTAAAATGATGGTAATGAGACCAAATATGCTCTTGTGTGTCAGAATGTCAGCAGAAAATGCTGTAAAATAAGTTAAGTGCAACAGCTGGTGAGGTCTGACATGTAGAGGACAGAGGGCAGAACTTTCTTCACAGAAAAGCAGCAAGATGAAAGCAAAAGAGTGACAGAAAATATTTTCTCTAATATCTTGATTGCCGATCATTCCGGCCTTTTTCATGAATGCTTTTTGTTGTTGACATGATAGCATAACCATGTGGAATCTAAGAAATGGTGTGTCTTGCATTTCTGGCAGCAGTTGAAAAGAAAACTGTTTTATGTATAATGAGCTGTGACAGCCAGCCAAGAAAAGAGTGCCATCTTCAGAAACCTACAATGAATCAACAGAAAAACCATGTTGATTTTCTCTTTTTGTTCAGAAGAGAGTTGCAGCTAATAAAAAGGGTGCAACAACAAAAAATGAATGCAGAATGTTGCATTTTATTAACTGTTTTATTAACTGTTTTATGGGAAAGGGTTTTGATTGAGTGCTTAATGCATTCAGATAAAATGGGACAAAAAATAAGCTAAAATGAGACATTTTTCTGAAGTAAAATCAGCACGTTTTTAAGCTACCATGTGCCGTATAATCACGACTTATGCGACTGTATGCCATCCTTTAATATTACACACATTTTCTGTATTTTTTGTCACTTAAAAATGTTAAAGATGATACAGTGAGTCCATGTCAGCCACAACAGATCAGTATTAGTCATCAGGCACACAAGCGCACACATTTTCATTGTAGACAATAAAGCACCATTTCCACCAAACACTTTTCAGTATGGTACCTTTGGAACCTAAAGTAACCCTTCAGACCTAGACACTAGGGCTTCCACTGCAAACAGTACTCTTACATGTGAGTGGGGTTGTTGTCACTGACTGCTCCATCCAGCACTTACTGCATTACCTTATTACCTTTGACACAGATGGAAGTCTGCACCTTGTTTATCGTCTACAGAACGAGGCTGCACGCCGACATTTTCACAACAAAACAGAATAGGCTGCAGTGAGAGTCTCTCTCCATGGGATATTTAAAAAATAATGGGTTTGTGCATTTAGTCCTTCTCAGGCAAGCTCAGGGGTTTAGTGTTGCTGTAGCCCACAGGAACTACACTCCACAACGCTTTTTTTTTCTAAGTGAGGATTAGAATATATGCAGTTCACATAACCCCGCCGAAACTAATACATATAAACACTTGAAGATCCACTCATTACTAAAAGTGTCTGTCATGCAAAAACTAAAAGTTGTCACATTGAAATTTAAGGTGTGCTGATGGATTCACGTCGTCAACTCATGCACTGAGTAACATTACAAGTTCACTTTCCACCTTCTCTGCGAGAGGCAGCAAAACATCCTTTCATTTTATAGTTACAGTTCACTAAGAAAACTCTCCACAGTATGAACAGTGGTTACATGAGCCTCAAAACCAGCCACAATTCAGCCCTGAGCAGAGTGACCGTCCTCTACTGACCAATCAGACTGCAGTGTTCACAGCTCCACCTTTTAGTACCAGATCTGTGTGCTAGGTACTCCAACAGAGGGGGACCAAACATGGGGACAGTACAGAACGGTTCTATTGGTACCATCCACAACTTTTCACAGTGGAAACGGGAAAAAAGCTACCACACTGAACTGTGCCGTACTGCTCGGTGGAAACGGGGCTCATGGCACCAAGGAAACAGGCAGCAAAGGAACAGGGAGAGCAGAGCAGAAAAGATGGATGAATAATTAGGTGACATACATGATTTAATGAATTAATAATTTAACTGATAAATGGATTAAACCATTTGAAAAACAAACATGACTGTCCCGTGTTACCTGAACATGTTATCGGAGTGACATGTATTTTACTTGGCAACATAATTTCTTTATAGAAATATAACAAAGCTACATAACAAGCTCCAAAAGTGACACAGTTAAGATTTTTAGGTGCTTTTTTATTCGGTAATTCACCAAAAACTATCCCAATTTACCTAATTTTACACAGGGAAATGACTACTCCGCTTGGACCTGGAATGTGACTGAAAAGGTGGAACAAGGAGAAAATTCATTGATTCATTGCTCCTTTTCACCCTTCCATTTCTTGCTCCTTTTCACTACTCCCTCCAGCCTTCATGCCTTCCTCATGGTGACTTCTCATCCCCTTTTATCCCTTTCATTTCCTTTGTGTCTCCCTCTCTCTCCAGTCTGACCTCTGTCTGTCGTTTGTTTTCCTTTCTCTCGCTCAGTCTGTCTGCCATGTGAGGAAAAGGACTTTTTAAACTTCCCCTTTGACTGCCTGCCATAATTATTTCGTTATAGTTACTTTTCCCGCCGAGTCTTAACTCCTTGTCACCATTCACACACACACACACACACACACACACACACCTCCCAGCATATTAAATCCCCCAAACCACACCCATCTCCAGCCCTCGGGCCCTCCCACGCGCGCTCACGACAGCCGGTCCACAGAGCGTGCGTCTTTAACTTTTCTGCGGGACTAGCAGTGAGATCTCCGGCTGCCGTTTTGTCACGTTTGGAGGCTTTATTTCCAAAACTTTTTTATTTTATCATCCCTCAATTTACCTTTAATTTCCCATTAACACACAACACCTGGAGCTCCTCACAGCTTTGCTTCCTCCTCAGTCAAAACTCGGTGAGTAAACTTTGTATTTTTGTAGTTTGCATGTTGTTTGAATGCTACACGGAACTTTCTCTGAGGGATCATGTCCCATTCAAATCCAATGCGACTCTGAAATATATAATAAATATCCCATTAACAACATTATTGTGACTTTATGGTGAGTCTTGAGCCTAACTGTTCTTATTTACTGCTCTGGAATATTTAATCCAGCCTAAAATATTCCTTAAATAACTGTTGGATATTTCTATAATTTATATTTAATAACTATGATACGTTTATTTAGCTTTATAATTCATAATAGACTCGTTTTACTTCGCCTTTGCTGCCGTGTTTCCCCCTGTGGGTATTTATACACATCATAACTTCTGCTGAGTGGCTCCAACTTTCAGACGTTGGAAATGAAAGGGGCGTTGTCAGCCACCAATGTGTGTGTGTGTGTGTGTGTGTGTGTGTGTGTGCTGTGAATGAGTGTTTTCTGCCCTGAGAGGGAAGATAAATTACTTTTTTTTTCAATGGATACAGGAAATGTGCGTGTGTGCGTGCCTCATAGGGGCTTTAAGCGTATCTGCTTCATTACTTAGAGTTTGTCCTGAACTTGTGGTGCTTTGCATCTGTAAACCTGCACATATGGTCACACTAGATGCTGCTGTGGTAATATATGAGTGTCAGTGTTTTATTGAGCTGATTAAATCTGCTTAAAATCAGCTCAGGCTCCATATAAGCGTATTACTTGGACTACAATGCTGAATCCAGCTGCCCATGTCATGCATTGTTGACTGATGAGGCAGGTGATAACTCCTGCATTCTCCCTTCATTGGGGGCGCCCTCTTGTGGTTGAGAACAGCAACAGCTTGGCCCTGGTTTGCAAAGGTTGGAGGAGTCTTTTAGGAGTAGGATGCAGAAATGGAGACTCCTAAGGCAATGTTTGCATGATGGATAATGCAGTCCAGCAGTGGTCTGAAGATTAAATGTCATTTGGAGAGTTAAGGTTACAAAGATACAACAATGTGTCGGAGACTAATTTGCATGCCCCTGTTGGCATCAGGGTTGACAGGTGGATTTCAATATCTACCACCCACTCTGTGGCAAATCTGCATTATTTTACCTGCATTTTGCTGGTGGCTGGTGCTAATCCACCCTGGCTAACATGCAGTTATAAACCGTTGCACACAATGCATGGAAAAAGGCAGAGAAAAGGATAACAGGTGGACGGCTAAACCTAAACTTGGACTCCCTCAACCTGCTCTAGGAAACCAGTGCTGAACATGAAACTGGCTCCAACACTGATTTCATACATGCTGCTCTTGTGACGCTGGGGGTCTACATCTGCAGGAGACGCTTTATGAAAACAAGAAATGAAAAACCTCCAAATCCCTTTAATATTACATTAAATTCACTCTGAGTTTCAAAGGTCAAATGTTTTGTTTTATGAACTGTAACTGAAGAAAGAACAGAGCCAGTCTGAAACACTGCAGCCCATCCTCTCCTCTCTCCTCACCCAGCTTTTAATTTAGTTTAATGAGCCCTGCAGTCATCAAATGTGTGAAGTAATGTGTTAAAGAGCCACAAATTAGCAGCTGAATGAATGACATTTAAAACTCGCAGTGTGTAACGTGAAAGCTTTTCCCCACACTTTACGGAAGGTAGTCTTGTTGCAGTGGGTAAGGCTTCGGGGGATTTAGCAGCATCCAGCAGTGAGGATTGCAGATTGTAACCAGCTGAAACTTCTCCTGGTCAGAATTCCTTCAGGGTTTGGAATTGTTTGGAATTATCCACAGAGGTCTCCTCCTCTCCAAAACACATTGATCAGGTGCAGTTTCAGGTTACAAGTCAGTGTTTCTCTGACGCTGTTTGGCACATCAGAGACAGGCCGCTAGCACAGCACCTGCTAATGTATGCTCACCTTTTTTCTGATCCACATTTCTGGGAGGTTTCACCATGAATTTATTTATCTGCAGGTCTCCTCTTCTCCAAAGCAAACAGATGTGGTGATTTAACCCAGTAAAGACATTGAATAAGCAGTTTCACATTACAAATCAGTGTTTCTCTGATGATGTTTGGCGTGTCGGAAACTGGCTGCTAGCCTAGCACGTGTGTCCTCACCTTTTTTCTTTGATAACTCAAGATCCAGACACTCAGGAGGTTTTTTAATGATATTTTTATTGAAGGATAATTGCAAATCATACAAAAATTACAATTGAAACAATGTTTTTCCTTCCATCTTTTCTTTTCTGAACAAACATCCTTTAAGCCAGACAGGATGATGATGTTAGGGGACTTCCAGTCTAGCAAAATTCTGCGACGAGCTCATAGAGACGCATACGGCACTATATCGGCCTGTCCGGCAGTCAGAGTAGTGAGATACTCAGGAGGTTTTTACTGGGAGGCAACCCCGCAGAGGTCTCTTCCTCTCCAAAACAAACAGACCTGGTGATTTAAACCACTACAAAATGAATAAAGCGTGTGTCTTGGCCGCTGTAGAAACATGGCGGTGCAACACGGCCATCTCCTTAGACGAGGACCCGCTCCCTATGTAGATGTAAATGGCTCATTCTAAGGCAACAAAAACACAGTGACTCTTATTTTCAAGTGATTATACACTAAAGAAAACACTGTTTTGATTCCATTTCTGCAGATATATTCCCCTAAATCCTACACACTGGACTGTAACTGAAGTTTGATGCACACAGTGGCCAAATTCTCCTCAAGCAGATGTAATTTTTCTATCTGAAGTATTAGGACACAGCTGCAATCCTTTGCCCTCTTTGCCCTCACTGTTTCGGCTGTGATGTGACACAATGCCCGAACGTTTTCATGGCAGAGTGTCAGTGTTAATTTGAAAGTATTTTCAGTCACTGAATGCAGCATGAGGAGAGAGGTGTGTGATATTTGATCGGAGGGGGATTAGTCGGGGGTGTGAGGTTTTAAAAGCTGCTGACAGATGAAAACTATCAGCGAACAAGTGTGAAGTGACTGAGAGTAGAGCAGAAAGATGGAAGAGGATGAAGGGATGATAAACAGATGAGGATGAAGGTGTCTTGTTTTTTTTTTTTTTTTACCTCTCCATCAGGTGTTAGCCCCAACTTGTCTCCACCATGTGGGAGTCATTACTCAGCGCTGTCACTTCAGGAATGTGTGTGAAAACGTACCCTCTCACACACTTACCTAACAAACCATGTTAGTGTCCAACATGAAAGAATTCCTGCGTCAGGGGGAAGTCTTTAAACCCAGCAGGAAAACAGTTGTGTGCATGTGTGTGTCTGTGTGTGCATTTGTCAATTTGTTAGGCTCCTGATTCCCGAACAGGCATGTCGTACACACACACCTTCACACACACACTGTATGCCTTTGCAACAATGTAGGCGTCATTGTGCAGAACAATGATTCTTCTTCCTCTCCTGGTATTCAGCAAAACTCAACATAACTCACATATTTATTTCAAAGTATCAAAGCAGCCAGTGTTTTATAACCTTTTTATGAAGAGACATGATTTTGAGGTTAGGGCAAAAGGTCTAGAAAATGTCAAGTTATTAGGCTTGTGTCGCCAGCAATAAAAAGTCTCATGACCAATGTAAAAAAACATCAGTTTGAAGCGACAGTGTTGTCGTCGATTTGGACTCTGAATGCATCATTTGTGCACACTTATAACCCATTTTCCACACGTTGAATTTCAATTTAAAATGTACCCTTCTCTTTTTAGAAAGGACAGTCCGTTCCTCTCTTATTTAGAGTGTGGCGTGAGAAGTAAAGTGACTGTGTAGCATCAGGATGTGAGTGTCCTAATAAAATGGTCGGCTTTATGAGACGCTGTTTTGTATTGGGTGTGATTTCAGCTTGACAAACACATAATGTTTGGTTTTTGTCTCCACCCAAACATTAGCATGTTAATTGTGAGTATGAGCGCATGTTCGCATTAAAGGGGAAGTACGCCTATTTCCAAAACTCATACATGTTATTCCCAGGGTTGAAGACGATCAAAAAAAAAATTGGGAACTTAAACATCACTCTCGCATATCTGAAAAAAGGAGTCCTAAACTTAAATTTAAGACTGGAACTGCTCTATAGGGTGCGTTTCCATCCGACTATTTTTGTGCACATTTTTAATTTGTGCTGTAAAAACCTGACTGGCACCAGCACAAATAAAAAAAACTCTTGAAATATTGCAAAAATGTTTAAATGCAATGGGAAGTTGGAAAAGTTGGGATAATGACAAAAGGTAAATGCTGATAAGTGCAATGGAAAAAGATTCAATGAATAAATGATGACAAACAGTCTTAACATATTGTCACTGCGTATGCCACTGCAAGTTTATACAGGGATGTTACCAGAACTCTTCCAAGAGCACCTTGTTGTAATATTTTTAATGACGTCATCTTGTTGCGCTATCTTCTTCTGCACCGATCCAGCTTTTCCAGTTTAGATCCCGATGCTGTGGCTTTGAGTATCAGCCGATACCCGATACAGATCCGATACCATGGTTGACCTAAAAAGCTATATACCTTTACATGTAGAACAGAAAAGACTAGAGGCATCAGGCATTGATGGCTACACAGTTCTCTCCTAAGATAAATTGAACCAAGATGAAATGGATTAATGCAATGGTGAACTTTTTATTTTTAACAAAAATAAACTATTGTGCAACAACAGCTGAAATAGTGTGAAATACCTCCACACAGCAGATTCTCTCCTGTGCTCCATGACGTATGACGTAGCTTGCGTTGCAATAGATTTAAAGGGAACGGATCGCCTCAGGTATAGGTTGCATTTTCCGATACCCAATCCATCTATTTTGATGATATCGGGGCTGATATTCAATCCAGGTATCGGATCGGTGCATCCCTAAAAGATTATGTGGGTACATTTTCTGTTTTCAGAAATACTTTATTTATTTTTGGAGCTGACAAATATTAATTGAACCATCCTAGGTCATGGTAAAAATATACTGGAATTCTTAATTTACGTGATGTTTCCCCTTCATCCAGTGGCTAAGCTTATGTACGGCAAATTCTGAA